GAAAAGTTCATGCTCATAATGAAGCCTTCTATTTTGTTTTCTCTACGAAGTGCAAATACAATTGCTTGGCGAACGGATTCAAACTTCATTCCGTTACCTCAAAAGCCCAGATTCTCAATGTATCATCCCTTAAAATTATCCGATTCCTAATGTTCTATCGTTGTACATCAATGAAATGTTGTTCCTTTTTAACTCTTCCAATTCCTTGTTACCGTTCTACGCTTAACACATCTCGCTTTCTACTCAACATTTGATATTAGATGTGTTGCAACGTGCATAAACAAATAGATTGAATTGATACATAGATTGAGTCGATACACCATGGTGAATCGTAAACTGTTACCAGTAAATTCTGCGAAAATCCAAGTGACAAGTTTGAAATGAGAACAAGTTAAACTTACAATTACCAAAGTTGAAAAGGATTATTGACCTGGAATTACAACAAAAATTCCAAACAACTGAAGCTGGCCCTACATATTCTTTTTCCAAAAGGTTCTAATGATTGTCGATTCCTGTCATCATCACAACAAGATATAAAAACACGATTTGCATGCGCATGTGCAAGTGCAATGCACCAGTTCTTCAACGTTTTTCCACTCTGGCTGCTGTTCATCAGTCATCCTCCAAGTTGAACTATCTTAGGTCTTCCCTTGACAGTTGACAATCATATCATTCAAATATGGCTAGACAGAGTTCATTCTTTTTGAGCCTTTACCCTAATTACCTTCCATAAAGAACTAACTTTCATTTGATGATAAATTCATATACACAGTTTAGAGCTTTTTATATAAGGCCGGAGCAGCACTCGAGTAGTCCTGCTTATTCCGTGCAACAAGCTTTCCGAGTGACAATGTCACGCCCCGTACTCTACCGGAACGCAACATCCCGTCGACGGTCGATTATGGTGCAACGCTCCCAGGAAGCATTGCCGACCCAACGCCCAATCAGAGATCAAACACATACGGAAGCAACGTATATAAATAAATATATACACCCATACAATAAATCGCATGAGACTAAGGATAGCCAAGCAATAAACAACGATCAACGCAGAAAATATGTACATACTTATATCACTATTTTAAAACTCTTTTTACAGTGCTCCCAACAACTCAAATAAAATACCAACTCCTAGGAATAACCAAACAGCCACTTCTCCGATCCGCTCCGTCTCCACAGGGGTGCACGCTCAACGACCGCTGGATGAAATGCAGCATCCCAAAAAGTGGTGGTGTCCTCGGCATTCTACGGCTGGGGGTCTGAAAATGTTTCAGTTTACATAACCGTGAGACGAATCTCAGCGAGTATGACCCCCTAAACCTAGGCTAGGCTAACATGCAATCTCCTGACCGACAGCACAAAACAACATAACCAACCAATTTATAAATAAACTCCGACCTAGGCCCTCTGACCCAGATCTCTTACCTGGCTGACCCTGCAGGTTATTGACAATCATGATTTAAATCAAGTCACATACGCGAGCACTCGGTTCACGCGTACGTCAAACGTATGCTCATACTTAATAATGGTAATAACGCGTGTCAATCACCGAGTCCCGCACACCCGCAAACCAGTCCATGCATTCTTATGTATGCAATGCTATCGTCACACCATACTCATGCCTCGGCTCACTAGCCCACACTGGCACCTTGGCACTTGCTCAATTTATCATTTATTACGACCCGCGTAAAACGCATCAGGTCTCTTCATTTAACCACAACACTTCGTGGCTCGCGTTAAAACACATCAAGCGGCCCGGTGTCTCAGCCCGCGTCAAAAGCGCATCGGGCGCAACACCGATCTCCTCACGAGGCAGGCCGCGTAAAAGCGCATCGGGTTGGTCGTCTTCCGGACATACCGGGCATCGTCCCGCGTAAAACGCATCAGGACGGCACACCCCGCGTAACACGCATCAGGGCGAAATTGTGATCACACATACACACAATCAATTATTATCTGCACCCCGCGTATCACGCATCAGGGCGTTTAGGTGATCACATGCTCATGGCAGGCACGCATTCTCGCACAATTCATCACACGCCTCGTTCCCGGCATTCACTATGCGTGCCATGAAATGCAAAACAATGCAACATGAGCATCAGTACAATTCAAGCATTCAGTTAATTTCATGCCGCAACAATCGTTCACTGGCCAATTAATACCATGCGGCTCAATTCCACAATGTGCAATTCAATAATCCAATCAAGCCATCATATGGCCAATCACACTCCGCACAAGTCGGCCACGCAGTCACGGGACATGGCATTACTCAATTTCCCAGCAATTGGGTACAGAAATCAGCCAGTCAATCAACCCGGACATACCCCGCAGTCCAATCACATAATCCCCGATTAATCTGTGCTAGACCAATAATTATTTCTAATAATCCCACTAAATTCCTTAGACTTAATTTCCAACGATCGATCCTCAATCTAGTCCGAATTACACACTAGTACTACCTAATCCAATCCAGACTACACCGATAATACCTAAGCCAACATGCCGAACACAATCATTCACCAAATCAACGAATTTAACGCATCCTTGGCACATTCAATATATTTCCACTTTGGTTCAACGAATCCCACATTCATTCGCACGTTCATTCCAAGGTAGTTCAATGCGTTAAAGGCCCGCCCTGGGCAAATCCATCTCAATAGTTGTTCTCACCACTTCGGGGTCATTCAATATGATTTATACACATCCTAATCATCCCCTAAAAATGCCTAGATTCTTGTCATTAGTCCATTATTCTTAGAATATTCAACTTGGGCACAAATTAGGCATTTTCGGTACTGAATGAACAGTGCCAGGAAAAATTAACATTTAGGCACTAAACCACCTTTAAACCATCTCATTAAGGCCTAATCACCTACCCCAAACATCCAACCACCAAATACATATAATTAAGCCTCAAATGAGCTTAATTAACACTTGAATTGTTTAATTTCAAGCCTTGAATCATTGAATTCAATTAGTGCAAAACTTAGACAAATATGCACATTTTCGGTACTTTGTGAACGATTGCAAGAACAAGGGCTTTTGAACACTAATCCACACTTAAATAACCTCATTAAGCCCTAATGACCTATCATAATCATCCTACACCCAAATAAACATCATTAGGTCCTAAATGAGCTTAATTAACCCCTAATTACCCCATAAGGACACAATTAGACTAATTAAGGGTTTAGGGGTTTATACTCGCCTATTAGCGACTCGGGACGACAGGGAACAGGCGGTCGATCACCGCCGCGGTAAGGATCGCAGCGGCGTTCGGTGCAGCCGGCGGTCACGGCGACGACGGGAACGGCGATTTCTTCTTGTTTTCTTACGTTCGGAGTGGAAATGGGGCCCGTGGTGGCTGTTTAAGGGCGAAAATGGTTGCTGGTGGTGCGGGATGGTGGCTGGTGGCGACCAGCGGCTCATTTGATGCTTTATTCGCGTGAACGAGTGCCGGGACGTCTTGCAAGTGTGCACGGCGAACAGAAATGGCGATGAAGAGAGGAAATGGGAGGGAGCTCTCGGCGGATCAGCGGAATGGAAGAGAGAGAGAGAGACGGTCAAATATGGGTCAAATTTGGTCTTAGTGGAGTCCAAGTGTCAAGATCTAGGCCAATTGGACAATTTTGCCCTTGATCCAAGGGCTATCCTTCCTTCTCATCCAATAATTTAGGGGTAAAATGGTCATTGATCCTTAACCCAAGCTGACCAGACCTGGTTTAGCCCTAACTCACCTTGGTTAGTCCCCTAATTAAATCCAAAATTCGGAATTACCAAAAATGGGTCCAAGGGCATTTTGGTAATTTTTCGGTCCCGGGTCAAAATTCCAATTTTCGCACACACGCGTTCCATATGTGCGTGGACAACATAATATGGCGTCGGAATCGCGAAATTCACTTTTTAAGTCCTCGAAAACTGACTGCAAGGTTTCGGGAATAAAATAATATTATTTTTCCAATTTTTGCCGATATTCCACTTTTTGGCCAAAACCACTCTAAATGTGCGTGGCCACCCCAAAATGACATTGGCCGCGAAAAATAACCTCAAACGGTCTCCGAATCCGGCCTCGGTGCCCACAAGGGCAAAACCGTAATTTCTCACCCCCGGACCGAAATTCCAATTTTCACTCGTACTAACCCCAAACGTGTGTGGCCAGCTTAATATGACGTCAGATTCCCAAAAATAGTCTCTTAAGCCTTCGAAAATCGATCTCGAAATCCGGGCTCAATTCCGTGAACAAAACTCGCTAAACTTTCAATTTCAGGGTCTCTTACTAACGGGCGGCTGTTTAGGAGTTACGCGTATCGACCTAGGGCTATCCATATCGTAATGGTCTCGATCACTGAGAGAATGAGAAATTATCATTAGTTCCAGAGGTCACGATCGCTCGGTTCAAGTTCAAGACTGGTTGGCCACGTGTACTTTCGGTCTTGCAGAATCACCTGCGATCCGATGGTACATCGTTGGCCTTGACCAAACCAGATCCGTTACCTTTCCTAAGATCGGTCCATACTGGTTCATAATATTCTCTCGTCATTTCTCGAGATCGGTGCCCAATTCACGATCGGGTCCCTAGTCCACGTACCATTTTCCTAGTTAGCCATACTCCATTGGTTAGTATCCCGAGAGTGATCAGCTCTGGGCGAGACTTACTAAAATGAAATGCGAAATATGATCAATTTATTGATCCCAGAATTACATCAAAATTCAGGCTGTTACAGACAAGATATTTACGCGACGCACATGTCGAAAGTCGATAACATCCTATTTAGAATCTTTCCATAGAAGATTTTTCTTGTATTACAAATGTGATTCTCTTGCTCAGATCTGTAGTGATCCAACACTAAAGACACAGGCCGCAAGGTTTCAGGACCTGTGAAGCGCTAATATTACAGCAATCAGTGTGAACCAAAAAAAGAAAAAAAAAAGTCAATCAGACAAAAAGGCCTGCGGACAAGTGCATAACAGGTTGCCATAAAGATAAACCGATAACAATGTGGTTGATGATAAGAATGTCGAACACGATGTCTCGTTTGACGGTACTTCCTCGGGCGGAATGTCCGGTTCTTCCACTTCCGTTCTCTGTCAAAGTCGACGAGTGGTCGTTAGCAGCCGCTGGAACGAGGGGCACTTTCCCTACCCACCTCCGGGAAATCAATCCCGACGCTCAAGCTCTCCTTGAAAACCCTGTTAAATAGTCTCGCTTTCATCGCCATTTTCGCCCTGCCCTCCTCGTCCCGTCAGTCTCTTTCTTCTTGCTTGCTTCTTTGTAGAAGTTGAGACTGGTCTCGCTTGTTTTTTCATTGCTATTTCGTCTGTTTACTTGGGCACAAGTGAATGAACTGGGCACTCCCAAAGTGCCCGAGACTGCATTAATTATTTGTTTGTTGTGTTGCTTGATCTGTCCCACTTCTCGAATTGTGCCCAAGTATTCTTTAATCTTAGCTAAAGCAGGCCCCTTTAAGGAAAGTTTCCATTTTTAAAGGACATCTGAGCTGAGCTTGCTCTTCCGGCACTTTCTTGATTTGGGATAGAGGGCTTCCGCATTTGTTAGAGAGCTAAAGCTCTCATGGAGACAAGTAAAGGCGTGTTGGGGAAGAATGAGACGGACGAAGTGATTGTGATGATCTCGAGCAGCGAGTATCTAAGCAGAGGCTCATCTCCAAGACCCAATATTGAGCTCACAGAGCTTGATAACCTTCAGTCTAGGGTGCAAAATTCCAACTTGACAAGCCCTTCCGCTCAGGGACTCACCCAATCTAGCCCATCTCCTACTAAGCCTCCAAGAATCCCCACCAGGAAGTCCCTTTTGAGGTCTTCCTATTCGAAGCCGAAATCAAGATTAGCAGAACCATCATATCCTGGTGATACTGATTTAGTTGAAGGGAAAACCCAAGTGAAGAGTTCTCAGTCTCCCTACAGGAATTCACCTAGAGTGGGTTCACCTTATAATGCTGCAAGTTCTGGTGCCAATAAAGACAATGTGAAGTCTGTGCCGATCACGCCTCGGATGCCATTGATCGCGTCCCCCGTTCCAGAGGAGGAAGATGATGAGGAGGTGTACAAGACTGCAAACTTGAAGATCCAACAAATGTCTGGTAAGAAGTTTCCTAAGGTAATTTTGGTTGAGTGGGTTGCATTTGTGTGCATCATGGGACTTCTGATCACAAGTTTAACTGTTCACAAGCTGCGAGATACTTGTATTTGGGGATTGAGATTGTGGAGATGGTGTCTGCTGGTGTTGGTGATTTTTTGTGGTAGGCTAGTGACTGAGTGGTTGATCAATATAGTGGTCTGCTTGATTGAAAGGGAATTTGTCACGCCCCGAACCCTACGGACACGCAACATCCCGCTATGGTCATTATGATGCGACGTCCCAGGACTCGTCGCCGACCCTTCATTTTATCTTTTAATTACGCATGCGGAAACGAACACAACAATCCCCGGACAACAACAAATAGGGATAGTCAGGAAAACAAATCACAACAGCCAAACAACATTATTTTAATTTCCACTTGATTAACCCCTGGGAATATTCTTACAAGCCCATTTCGGGCGTTGCCACAAAAAGCCAGCAAAAAGATATCAGGCTGGGGTCAGTCTACTCCACCAACAGGTCGAACTCCAAAAACCAGCTTTCAAACGACCTGAACCACACTGGGTGCGTCGACATGCTAAGGGCCTGAAAAAGGGGTTAACAACAACAAATGAGACGAAAGTCTCAATAAGTTAACGGCCTAAGCCCCGCTTAGGAGGCCTACTCGCACGGGGTCCCTAAGCAGGTAACACAGCACCAACAATACATTATTAAACAACCACAGGCATCCTTACCTCGCCTTGGTACACTCGTTGATAAAATGCATATGTCACATACTCGAAGCATTTAAAGAGATTTTCCATGCATTAATGCATCACAGTCGCGCGTGTCTCGATTATAAGGTAAAACCCACTTGGGCACGTCCCATACCATGCCTGGCAGTTTCTACCCCATAATCAAGCACTATGCATCACACGTATTCCAATTATTACGCCTCTGGGGCCACCACACATCAAGCGATACGCAGCAAGATGGCGGTCTACGGTAAAAACCGGGCTCCGTCCCGCCCCGTCGGGCACGGCTACGTCAAACGATCTACAGTAAGACGGCATTCCAATACGGCAACATCAAACGATCTACAGTAAGATGGTATCCCGTAAGGAGCATCGAGTCCGGCCTCGGGCCGCGACAAGGCATCCGGGGTATCGGCACTCCAGATAATCCCCAAGCATCCGATAAATCGGGCATCGTCAAGCGATACACAGCAAGACGGGTCCAACGTGTGACCACACGAGCACACGAGCACACAAGCATTCCGGCAAATTATTATCTTCTCAATTAGCCCATGCATACATGAATCGTGCTCTCCTCGATGTCATACAATAATACCAAGTGGCCACACATGCCAACAGTCAATCAATTCTTGCAATCTTCGATTTCAAACACGAATATCAACCACAAAGTATCACTAACATTACTTGGCATAACAGGATAAAATAATTTAATTCCAAAAGTCTCATAAATTTTCCACAGAAACTTTCGATCAAACAATTTGCCATAAAATCAATTTAATACGACAATACGCGGCAAAATCGCCAACATTCAAGCTAGAAATCATAATTTGAAATTATAAATTTTCCGAAATAACAATAAATTAAATTCGGAATTAATTAATTACTAATATCCGAAAATAATTTAATTTTCCAAAATGTCAAAATATTTCCTCGAATCGAAATCATTCAAATCATTTCCTAAATACGCCAACTTATACGGCGAAAACCAACATTGGTATCACAATTTGACGCTAGAAATTTTCCGAAAATAATAACATTTAATTTTCGGAAATTAATTATTTAATAATAAAATAATAATATTTAATTCGAAATTAATTTATTAACTAATAAAATAATATTTAAATTCCGAAAATAATAACATTTCATATAATAATCAATAACAATAAACTAATCAATAACTTATACCCTAAACACAATTAATTAACCACTAACCCACAATTAACACAAACTAAACATAAATTAAACTACCCTAAGCAAGTTTAACGCCCTAAACACGGAATTAGGGGTTAACTTACTCGGCTAACGTTGGCGACGACGCGAGGACGACGGCGGCGGCGAGGGCGGTCCGCAGTGTCCTCGGGTTGCTCCGGCTCGGGCTCGGCGACCGGCGGACGGGCGACGAACAAGCGCGGCGAAGGGAGCGGCTGCTGTGGCTGGCTGTCCGGTGCGGCTTGGAGGCTGAGTCAAGCAAAAATGGAGGTTGGCGGTGGTGGTCTCAGCAGCCGGGACAGCGGCAGCGAGCGGCGAGGGCGGGCGTGGGCGGACCGGCGAGAGGCGCTTCTCGCACGCGGCTTGGGCGAACCGACGACGGGAGGTTCCGGGCGGCCAGGGGTGGTGCCGCACGGCCAGGGGGAGAGCTGGGACGGGGGTGGTTCACGGAGGGGAGGAGTGGCGCTCGGTGGTGGCTGGTCCGGCGAGGACAAGCCGGCGGTGAGCAGCAGAAAAGAAGAAGCCAGGCGGAAGAAGAAGACCAGCGAAGGAGAAGAAGAAAAGAAGAAAAGGAAAGAAGAAAAAGAAAAAGAAAAAGAAAAAAGAAGAAAGGGGAAATGATGGGGCTGGTGGGGTAGGTGGTGTCAGGCGCATGAGGGGGGGACCGGCGTGGAAAGAGAGAGAGAGGAAAAGTCAAATCGCAATAATCGCAATCTAACGGTCACGATTCAAATCCAAAAACGATCTAACGGTCCCCGAAAAAACCTAATTAATAATATAGGATTTGGCCAAAGGATATTAATAAAAACACACCGCAAAAGAGGTCTACCGGTCTAAATCCGCACCCGGTCAAAAACTCACTTTCCACATATCCCGTGCAATATCGAGATGAGCCAAAATAATATCGACACCGTCCAACTAAATTCGTCTTGGAACTCTGAGAAATTCGACACCAAAGTTTGGGCTCTAAATAACGGCTAAATTCGATCGAGTGCGATTCTAGCGAAATCTCAATTTTAAAAACAATAACCGGGAGTGATCAGTTCCCGGGCGAGATTTTACTATAAGCACACTGACGAATTACACGTTTTATAAATCCCAAAAATGGGTCGAAATTCGGAATGTCACATAATTTTTGCTCAAAAAGAAGGTTCTGTACTTTGTGTATGGATTGAAAAAGGGTGTGCAGGCATTTATCTGGTTAGGTTTGGTTCTTTTAGCTTGGGCCTTATTACTAAATCATGGAGTCAAGCGATCAAGGCCCACGAAAAAGATTCTGAATTACGTTACAAAGGCTCTTGCTTCTTGTCTTATTGGAGCTGCCATATGGTTGATCAAGACCCTGTTGATAAAGTTACTATCTTCTTCATTCCGATGCACGAGGTTCTTCGATCGCATCCAAGAGTCGCTTTTTCACCAGTACATTGTCAGGACCCTTTCAGGCCCGCCACTGATGGAGATGGCCGAAAATGTTGGTAGATCGAGAAGTAGTGGCCAACTCAGTTTTATGAAATACAATAAAGAGGGAGCTAAGAATCAAGAGGAGGTGATTGATGTTGAGAAGTTACATAAGATAAAGCAAGATAAAGTTTCTGCTTGGACTATGAAAGGGTTGATTAATGTCATTAGCGTGTCGGGGCTGTCAACTCTTGCTGAGAGCCTTGAACAAAGTGATGACGAGGAGGCAAAGCAACAAGATAGGGAGATCACTAACGAATGGGAGGCCAGGGCTGCTGCTTATCAGATATTCAGGAATGTAGCGAAGCCCGGGAGCAAGTGAGAAGACCTAATGTCTGACTATTTCTTGTGTTATAGACGGACTTTTGTTCGAATCTGTTTCTGATTCCTGTATTATGCTTTTACTAGGTTCATTGAAGAGGAGGATCTTTTGCGCTTCATGAAGAAGGAAGATGTTGACAATGTAATCCCGTTGTTTCCAGAAGCAGTGGAAACTAGGAAGATCAGGAGATCATCTTTGAAGAATTGGCTGGTAAGAACATGCTAAGGATTTAAGGTTGCATTTCAATTCTAGCTCGTAGCCCTCTAGAATGTTTTCCCATTTCTGAAAATCTCCATTTTACTATCACGACCATCCCCATATTCTCCTCTCAGTCCAGTGGTTTATTAATGGCTTTCACTTCGCTTGGAGCAATTTTTGTCATATGCTACTTCATTAGGAAACTCATGAATGAGTATTGTGCAATTAGTTACCCGGTGTGATTCACTGAATGATTTCCCATTATTCCATGCTTCTCAATTGGAATCTCTGACCATTTCTGTTATGAAGTTCGTAACAAAAGATTTGGGTCTTTTGGAGTTAAAAAATTTGCAAGATTTTTTACCTATTTGAGTTGGTGAGATCCTAAGAGCGTACTCAGACCATGCATCTGAGGCCCAGAGCTTGATTTTTGTACTAGGATGCACATGAAACTATACTCTAACCAAAAGTATTCATTCAGACTTGGATGAAGGGTACGTACTTCCCTAGGTCCACGAGTTTACCAAAGAGGAATGAGCCATTGAGTGCTTCATCCTTGGGAAGGTTCTCGGACATCAAAACAGACAATTTAAGATTTTTGACACAGGCCATTGAGATGATTATTTAACTTGTGGAGCTGACAATGTAATTTTCCATTGCAGGTAAATGTGTACCTTGAACGTAAATCTCTTGCACTCTCCTTAAACGACACGAAAACAGCCATAGACGAGCTGAATAACCTTGCTTCAGCGGTTTTGCTTATTGTGATCATCATTATCTGGTTACTTTTGATGGGATTTATTGTTGGGATTTTGGAACCAAAATCCCATAGAATTGAATGAGAAGTGTGTGGGTGAAAGTGTCCCACATAGGGTAGAAGAGAGATGGGAGATGGGTTCAAATAGTTGAGCCTCACAAATGGGTTTGGGCCCCAAGGGGTACCCCACTTTTGTGGAAGAGAGAGGACCTACGTCAACCTAGGTCGGTCCACCTCCCGCGCGCGCGCCGCCGCCGTCCGGCCGGTTCGGTTCCGGGTCCACTCTCTATCGGTTTTGTTTAGAATTTATTTATTTATTTTTGGACAAATAAACATGTATGTTCGTGAGGTTCGGTTCGCCCGAACAGAAAACCGAAGCCCTTCTCGCGACTGTTCATGAACCGAACCTTCGCTACTATTCACGAAAACTCGCGACTCTTCATTTTTCGTCACTTGAATAAGACCGAACAGTTTAGTTCGGAATATAAATATCACTTCGTGGCATTCATTTTTTCCCGACGCACTCTACGCATATTCACTTCATCATTGTCATTTGGTGCGATTGTTCTGCAAAATTGCGTTCGTTGGAGTCCTCCGAATACGTACCGCTTCGGAGGAACGAGATCCGTTCTATCCTGGGAGACGATTGTCCAATATCCTCGGGTACTGATTGAGGGGTCAAATTCGTCTTAAGGACACGACGTTAATTCGTTGGGCTCGGATCAACATTCTGCTTATTTGGTTGTACTGCTTTCAAGTTAGTTTTTCCTAACGTTTGATTTTAAGTTCTGATATACGAACTTAGCCGACTACAATCTTAAGACGAATTTTGCTTCGGTTCTGTTCGTATATTCTTATGCGTTGTTCGTATCAAATATCATATTGCCGTTTCTTTAATTCGAACTTTTGTATAGTTCGTATGTTCCTTGTCATATCATATAGAATACAATTCTATTTGCACATTCTGTTCGTTAACGAATTTTTCGAATATTGTTCATATTAGAAATTTTCAATTCTGTTCGTGAATATGGTATGTGTTTATATTTCAGAAATGGCTTCGGCTTCGACTTCGGTTAATCCTGTTCCGAATCACGGAGAAAAGCCAGAAAAGTTCAATGGTACGGATTTCAAGAGATGGCAACAAAAGATGTTGTTCTATCTCACGACCTTGAACTTGGCTAGATTCCTCAATGAGGATGGTCCTAAATTGGACGTTGGAGAGACAAATAAAGAAAAGCTTCTTCTTTGTGGATGCATGGAATCATTCGACTTCCCGTGTCGCAACTATGTCCTCAACGGTCTGGACAATACTCTCTATAACGTATATAGTCCGCTAAAAACGGCTAAAGAGTTATGGGATAGTCTGGACAAGAAATACAAAACCGAAGATGCCGGATTGAAGAAATTCATTGTCGGTAAATTTCTGGACTTCAAGATGGTTGATTCAAAGACCGTCTTAAGTCAGGTTCAAGAGCTTCAAGTGATTATGCATGATATTCATCTTGAAGGAATGACTCTAAGTGAGACATTTCAAGTGGCTGCATTCATTGAAAAATTGCCACCATCCTGGAGAGATTTCAAGAATTATCTCAAACACAAGAGAAAGGAGTTGTCACTTGAAGACTTGATTGTTCGGTTGAGGATAGAGGAAGACAATAGAAATTCCGAAAAGAAAGTTGGCAGCAATTTGGCGGTCTCAAGGGTCAATGTTGTTGAAGAAGGATCAAAACCCAACAAGAAGAGAAAAATGACTAGCAAGTCTGGAGAGGGATTCACCCAAGGCCTGAAGAAGTTCGTTGGCAAGTGCTTCAACTGTGGCAAGTCTGGACATCGAGCCAAAGACTGCAGAGCCAAGAAAAGACAGAAAACTCAGGCTAATGTGGTGGAAGAAATTTCCAATGGTGTTGATGATATCAATCTAACTGCCATGATATCCGAGTGTAATATGGTGGGAAATCCCAAGGAGTGGTGGATTGATACCGGAGCAACTCGTCATATTTGCGCCAATAAATCAATGTTCTCATCTTACATGCCTATGGAAGGTGATGAAAAACTCTACATGGGTAATTCATCGACCTCTAAGGTTGAAGGTGTTGGAAAGGTTGCTCTAAAGATGACATCTGGGAAAGTTGTGACACTAAATAATGTGCTACATGTGCCAGACATACGCAAGAATTTAGTGTCCGGATCTCTTCTTAGCAAGAATGGCTTCAAGTTGGTTTTTGTATCCGATAAGTTTGTACTCTCCAAGAATGAGATGTATGTAGGAAAGGGTTACCTCAGTGATGGTCTTTTCAAGTTAAATGTAATGACTGTTGTACCCAATGATGTTATGAATAAAGCTGTTTCTGCTTATGTGCTTGAGTCTCCTAATTTATGGCATGATAGATTAGGACACGTTAACTATAAGTCGATAAAGAAATTAATGAACATGGGATTATTGCCAAAATTCGAATGTTCTAGTGAGAAATGCCAAGTGTGTGTTGAATCTAAATTTTCTAAGCCTCCTTTTCATTCTGTAGACAATAGAGTCTCAGAACCTTTAGATTTAATACACACAGATATATGCGATATGAAATCAATACCGTCAAGAGGTGGTAATAAGTATTTTATCACATTTATAGATGACTGCTCGAGGTATTGTTATGTTTATTTGCTTAGTAGCGAAGATGAGGCTGTGAATGCTTTTAGAATTTATAAGTCCGAAGTTGAAACTCAGTTGAATAAGAAAGTTAAAATGATAAGAAGTGACAGAGGAGGTGAATATGAATTTCCTTTTGAGGAAATTTGTACTGAGTTTGGTATCGTTCACTAAATGACTCCTCCTTATACGCCGCAATCTAATGGAGTGGCAGAAAGGAAAAACCGGTCTTTAAAGGAAACAATGAATGCATTGTTGAATAGTTCCGGTTTACCACGGGAATTTGTGGGGGAAGCTGTTTTGACGGCGAATTTTATTTTAAATAGAGTGCCCCACGGAAAAACACAACAAACTCCCTATGAGAAATGGAAAGGCGGAATGCCTAACTTGAATTATCTCAAAGTGTGGGGGTGTTTGGCTAAGGTTGCGGTTCCTAAGCCTAAAAAGGTTAAGATAGGACCAAAGATTGTTGACTGTGTTTTTATCGGATATGCTCAGAATAGCAATGCATATCGTTTTCTTGTTCACAAGTCGAGAGATCCCGGATATACATGTTAATACGATAATTGAATCAAGGGGCGCTTCGTTCTTTGAAAATATATTTCCGTATAACATAGTATATGAGCCAATTGATAATAATAAGAGGTCTCGAGATACTATATCTAGAAATGATCCAATTGAGGATGAACCTAGACGTAGTAAAAGACAAAGGACTTCCACGTCTTTTGGACCTGATTTCTTAACGTATCTGTTAGAGAATGAGCCTCGGACATTCAAAGAAGCTGTGACTTCGCCAGAAGCCCCGTTCTGGAAAGAAGCTATCAATAGTGAAGTTGAATCCATCTTGTCAAACCATACATGGGAATTGGTTGACCTTCCTCCTGGTAATAAACCACTACAATGTAAGTGGATTTTCAAGAGGAAAATAAAAGCGGATGGTGCTATTGATAAATATAAGGCTAGGCTTGTAGTAAAAGGATACAAGCAACGAGAAGGTCTTGATTATTTTGATACTTATTCACCTGTTACTAGAATTACATCCATAAGGATGCTAATTGCCATAGCAGCGGTGTATAAGCTTGAAATCCATCAAATGGATGTTAAGACGGCCTTCTTAAACGGGGATTTGGAAGAAGAAATATATTTGGAACAACCCGAAGGGTTCATTGTTCCAAGTCAAGAGAAGAAAGTATGTCGGCTTATCAAGTCACTCTATGGATTGAAACAAGCACCGAAATAATGGCATGCTAAATTCGACCAAGTCATGTTGTCGAATGGTTTCAAGATCAATGAGTGTGATAAATGTGTATATGTTAAGAACACTCATAATGGTTTTGCCATTTTGTGCTTATATGTAGATGACATGCTTATAATGGGCAGCGATAGTGAGGTTGTTAAGGCGACCAAACGCATGCTCACAAGTAAATTTGATATGAAAGATATGGGGGTTGCAGATGTTATTTTAGGAGTTAAAATCCATAAAACATATGGAGGATTAACTCTATCACAATCCCATTATATTGAGACGATTCTTGGAAAGTGTAAGAATCTAGATATTGTACCGGTAAAGACTCCTATAGATGTTAATTTACATCTTTCGAAGAATACTGGTGAAAGTAAGGCTCAAAATGAGTATGCTAGTATACTAGGCAGTTTAATGTATGTCATGAACTGTACTAGGCCGGACATAGCTTGTGCGGTTAGCAAGCTAAGTCGATTTACAGTTAGTCCAAATAAAAATCATTGGAAAGCAATGAAACGTTTATTGGGCTACTTAAAGCATACTCAAGATTATGCTTTGCATTACACAGAATATCCAGCGGTACTTGAAGGATACTGTGATGCAAATTGGATAACCGGCACTAAAGACACAAAATCGACAAGTGGATATGTATTCACACTTGGGGGAGCGGCAGTGTCTTGGAAATCATCCAAACAAACTTGTATTGCTAGATCCACTATGGAATCAGAATTTATTGCTTTGGATAAAGCCGGTGGAAGAAGCAGAGTGGCTTCGAAATTTCTTGGAAGATTTTCCTAATTGGCCTAAACCAGTGCCCGCTGTATGTATACATTGTGACAGTCAAGCGGCAATAGGAAGAGCAAGGAATGTCATGTATAACGGTAAGTCTCGACACATACGTCGAAGACATGACACAGTAAGACAACTTCTCTCTAGTGGAATTATCACCATTGACTATGTGAAGTCAAAAGATAATATTGCGGATCCATTGACAAAAGGCCTAACTGGAGAGATGGTTGCAAAAACATCAAGGGGAATGGGTTTAAGGCCTATAAACAAGTCATCATAGCGGAAACCCTACCTAGTTGATTTGGAGATCCCAAGATCTAGGTTCAAAGGGACAACTAAGTTACGAAGACGAGTGTAGAAATCTTGTTAAATTTTACTCATTCCCAGGATGAAGACAAGTACTAATATGTGAAGGTTAAGCAAAAGCTTTTAATGATTACGAATTGAGTATGTGATATACTATATGTTCGAAATCACCTATGTGAGTGTGAAGTGAGGGCCGCACGTGAGAATTGAAAAGGCCGAATTCTCTAAAACACTCATGAGACCAAAGCGGTGTTCATGGCCAAAACGAACACAACAAAGTGAGAACCAATTTTGTTCGAGAAGCTTGCTTGTGTGATTTCTATTGTCTAGGCTTACACCAAAGGTCGACAGTTCAAAGACATCAAGTCTCTTGATTGACTGAGTAAGTCCGATAGGTTTCACTAAGGAAAGTTCAAGGTCTCAGACTACTTATCCTGATGCAACGTTTTCTCATGGAATAATCGCACATTGCATCTCATGCATACACAAAGAGTCATGATATCTGAACTTCTCATTCATGTGGGGGATTGTTGGGATTTTGGAACCAAAATCCCATAGAATTGAATGAGAAGTGTGTGGGTGAAAGTGTCCCACATAGGGTAGAAGAGAGATGGGAGATGGGTTCAAATAGTTGAGCCTCACAAATGGGTTTGGGCCCCAAGGGGTACCCCACTTTTGTGGAAGAGAGAGGACCTACGTCAAGCTAGGTCGGTCCACCTCCCGCGCGCGCGCCGCCGTCCGTCCGGTCGGTTCCGGGTCCACTCTCTATCGGTTTTTATTTTTTTCGAACAGACACGTTGTTTAGAATTTATTTATTTATTTATTTATTTTTGGACAAATAAACATGTATGTTCGTGAGGTTCGGTTCGCCCGAACAGAAAACCGAAGCCCTTCTCGCGACTGTTCATGAACCGAACCGGTTCAAGCGAACCTTCGCTACTATTCACGAAAACTCGCGACTCTTCATTTTTCGTCACTTGAATAAGACCGAACAGTTTAGTTCGGAATATAAATATCACTTCGTGGCATTCATTTTTTCCCGACGCACTCTACGCATATTCACTTCATCGTTGTCATTTGGTGCGATTGTTCTGCAAAATTGCGTTCGTTGGAGTCCTCCGAATACGTACCGCTTCGGAGGAACGAGATCCGTTCTATCCTGGGAGACGATTGTCCAATATCCTCGGGTACTGATTGAAGGGCCAAATTCGTCTTAAGGACACAACGTTAATTCGTTGGGCTCGGATCAACATTCTGCTTATTTGGTTGTACTGCTTTCAGGTTAGTTTTTCCTAACGTTTGATTTTAATTTCTGATATACGAACTTAGCCGACTACATTTATGACGACAAAAGTACTCGTCTTCATATCATCTCAGCTTTTGCTTGTGGTGTTTATGTTCGGTAACACAGCCAAAACCGTTTTCGAGGCCATCATATTCGTATTTATAATGCATCCGTTTGATGTGGGTGACCGTTGTGTAATTGATGGAGTGCAGGTGACTTAGTAATCCTACAACTCTAAGAGACAATATTGTGTCGGGCAACATTTTGGCTGACGTTTTGATTCTTTTGCAGATGGTGGTTGAAGAGATGAATATATTGACTACACTCTTCTTGAGATATGACGGTGAAAAGATATTCTACCCAAATTCAGTTTTGGCAACTAAACCTATCAGCAATTTCTATAGGAGCCCAGAAATGAGCGACGTGGTGGAGTTCACTGTTGACTTCTCTGCTTCAGTCGAAAAGATTGGAGATCTAAAATCTAGAATTAAAACGTATGTCTTCTGCAGTCTCTGCATCTCAAATTTAGGCAGTATATTTTGCATGCATGATTAATTGTGTCGAGTATGATGAGATGTGGCATAAAACCTATTATGAATTGCGGATAATTCATTCATTATCAGTCTGGATGGTGTCCTTGTTTAGAATTCGGTGTAAGCATCGGGCTTTTGTGAAACCTATATGGAAATAGAGCAGCCCCTTTTTAATATGAAGAAAGGCACAGCTACACAATAGAAAAGGCGAAGTCATCGATATAAGTTGTTTCATATCAAGATATTTTCTAATATGCACGAGACATTAAATAGGCTTGCAATTTTAGTAATGCTTTTGCATCTTTTTTGTGATAAAGTTTATGCTTTTGAGTCTTCAAGATGTAGCTTATCAAAGTTCACAAAAAATAGTCGCGTCCCTATTTCTGTTTATAGAGAAGATAGATGGACATTAGAACTGTTGAATATGCTCTTCTATACGAATATTTGTGCATTCATTCGATTGAATGGCATTCATTGGGTCTAAATGTCAGGTACTTGGAAAGCAAGCCTAAACACTGGCATCCGGGTCATAATGTTGTGGTTAAGGAGATCGAGGATGTTAACAAGTTGAAGTTGGGCCTCTACGTTACTCACACGATCAATTTCCAAAACTACGGTGATAAGAACAGCCGCAGATCCGAGCTTGTGTTAGAACTCAAGAAAATCTTTGAAGAACTTGATAGTAAGTATCGTCTGCTCCCTCAAGAAGTTCAAATCAGCTATATCGGATCGGCAGCTACTAATGGACGGCTTTGACTCGTCCAGCAAGTTCCTAGTTTGCTGCAAGTAAGCGCCTACTTCTTTCTTCTCTTGATTAGCGTGTCACCCCGGATGTTTGTGTTCCTCGCTCGAAACTGGGACATCTAGACATTAACATCTATAATCTCAAAAATGCCGAGTGTGAAGTCACCGCACTTCTTGTGCTTGATCAGATTCGATCTTTCATAAGCTGTGCTTCTATATTTCTTTTCAATTCTTCTAAGGCGGTAAAACTTAGTGTCGTATTTCAGATTAGTCTTTCAGTGTATCATTAGCTTCGATTTGGTTAAAAGATTGTTAGTCCAGGAAAATGCTTAAGGCTTGATGATTAGTGAAGCATCAAGTACTTCACGATTTCCACTTCTTTCGGATGATTATCTTGACTGTGCTGTAAATTCGTTGAACAGCTTTGCGCTCATATTGTTGAACCGCAGATGTATTTGGTTGGTGCTGAACTCCATTAACCTATACTTAGAGCAGAATTTACTCCTTGTTCACCGGGAATGTTGAACAAGCGAGCCAGCTCTCCTCCTTTGGGCCAAAGAGCCCGAATTTCACTTTTCCAAGGTTTCTCGATTTACTGATAAATTGGCGATTCCCAGAATTTTTTCAATAATTGTCTCTTAATCCTTTAGAGTCCAATACCCTCAACTGGATTATAATTCGTGGTTAAAATCACTCAAATGCGTCATTCGCATAATTAGAACTATGGGCAGCTCTTAGGGATTTCGTACGTTTAACCCGTTGTTGATTCCAATTCAATCTATATTTAAGCCTTTTCAATTCATGGATGACCCTCGGTTGTCATGTAATCGATAGGGGTCAATTGCCCGTTTTGAAGTATACGATCATTAGGGATTGGTCTAGTGTCGTTTGGAATCAATACGATAATGTCGTGCGGAAACACCCGTAATCCGATTATATACTATTCTTTGAATCGAGCTCTAACCATTCTGGATCGACTTGAAATGGCTTATGAGGATCCCTCATCGATCCTTATGGTCAAATTGTCAATACATGATTGAGTTCTTTGGTCATGCGCATCGAAGTCCTAAATTGCCTTTCCTGTAGCTTGGAATACTCTCGAATAATTCTTGAATCGATTAAGAGTCTAATTCTAATAATTGCACATTGATGAATTAACCATTCATTATATCCGGAATATGGTCAAATTTAAGGATGTCACATTTTTTACGGTGATAATTTCAAATAAATAATGAACTTTTACAGCAAAAGAGCGACAAAACTCATCGTCGGGTGAGGGCGAGAGAGAGAGAGAGAGAGAGAGAGAGAGAGAGAGAGAGAGAGAGAGAGAGAGAGAGAGAGAGAGAGAGAGAGAGAGAGGGAAAGGGTGAGACCGCGAGAGGGAGAGGGTGAGATCACGAGAGACTAAGACCGAGATAGAGGGAGAAGAGTGCTACTTTTGAAGAACCCTTCTATGAAATTGCTTGTGAAGAAAAGGACTGAGAAAAAAACATAACATATATTTTCATGACAAGATAGGGAGAACTCACGGCTGTGAAAAGCCAGCAATTTGGCCTTGGGTTCCCGTCGCCTATGCCTAGGTCCAACGAGGTTGATTATGGGACCACGACAATCGGGCTTGGTCATCGGGACCCGAGCCTGGCCATATCCATTAGCCCGGACCCGAGCACGGACACTAAAGTCCTAGGCTCAAGCACGGGGGATCCAAGCATAGGCATTGAAGACCCAAGCCCAAGTGCCGGGGACCTAGGCACGACGTTTGTGGACTTAGGCTCGGGTGCCAAGGACTTGAGCCCAAGTGTTGGCGCCCCTGATACTAGGGTACTGGGGTCCCATGTTCGGCCTTTGTGGACCTGGGCCTTGGCATCGGGCCTCAGGCCTAGTGTCGATGGACCTGGGTTCGGGCATTGGCACTAGGGTCTTCCTGGGCCTAGTCTTGATGGATCTGGGTGCGGGCGTCGGGGACTCGGGCAAATACACTAGGGTCGCTCGTCTAGCCTTGGTGGACCTAGGCTCAAGCGCTGGAGACTCAGGAACGAGTGTTATAATTTACATGCCCAATTGCACAAAAATTTATTCAAACGCCAATATCTAGTCATATTTTGAAAAGTGATTTTCGATTTTTTAAAGAGGAAATCATTTTCTTTAATTTAAACATAAGTTTTTGCTAACTCATTTTCCTAAGCAATCCAAATGCCGGACAATGAGAAAAAAATTTCACGAAACAAATGAAGCCTAACTATATTAATGGAGTAAGAGTAGCTTGGTCAATGATTTAAAGAGCTTAGGTTTTTAGTTTATCTGTCATGTAAGTCTAAAAAACGTTCCAAACTTTGGTAGAGTTGGAATACTTATGTTTATTTGCTACATAGCCAACCTAAAGACGATTTTTTACCCAAAAAAAAAAACCTAAATACGATAAGGAAATAAAGTAATAAGAACATATCGGGTTTGGGATATTGGATTCCCTATCTATAAATCCCAAATCCATCTCAAACCTCACAAGGGTTTTGACAATTGATCCCAAACCCATATCGCTACACGAAATTCAAAACACGTTTACGTCCAATTAGGGTTTGGATGGATTGGGTATCCTGTCCTACCAGCTCCATTTCCCATCCCTAAATTTCGTGTGGATCATTAACTGGACATAAAAATGTTAGAAAATTGTCACGACTAACTTATAGATCTGATAGTCTAGAGTAGTCTAGTAGATTTAAAGACAAACTATTCTAAGCAAATCGGGTTTTCTGCCATCTAAGAGAATTACTAGTCACATCTGCCAAGCAAAGAGAAAACCCGAAAAACAAACCGAGGGAGAGAATTCAACTGTGTAAAAAGAGCCAATTCACTTAGAAGTCAGTCGACAGGCTGCGAATTTAAGCTCCTACGGAACAAAATGACTAACCTGCAGCTTGCACTAGAAGCTCAACTTGCACATTCCATGCCAAATGTCTACTCTCAAGACCAAGAAATGGTGAAACAAAGAATTTAAAGAAGCCCGATCCCTCGACACTTCTTTACTGTCATAACCACAATGCAACCGTCCCAAAAGGAGAAAAAAACTGCATCATTAAGCTCAAGAACCAAACTTGCAAAAACATCTCCATTACAAAGAACTCGCGAGACAGTGAAATCTACTGCCACAGCAAAATGTCTGACATCAAGCAATGCAATACCATATTCTTTATTTATTTTTCCCCGATAAAGTTCTAACTATAATACAGAGTAAGCGGATCAGAACCCTAACCCGGATCGCACTGCTGATAGAATTCCTCGACATCTGCAACAAGAAACCCAACAACAACAACAAGAAAACGTCAGCACCCGCAAATCTTGAATACCCAGAAAGTAAAACCACCAGACAGACCAAACCCAATTCTCAATTCGACCAATGTGAAATCACAAGAGAATATACCAACAAATACTCAACCAGAGAGAGAGAGAGAGACCAGTGGTTAGAGCTTTGATCATACCGGCTCGATGACCCTTGAAATCCCTGAAGAACTCCTCCACAGTCCGAGGATTGTACTGCCCTCCTCCTTCCATATCTCCCACGCCGCGCGCAAGAAGCTCTTTCTCCTCACGGAAGCACGAACGGGGAGAGCGCTGACTGCGACCCGAAACAGGGATTCGGATTTTTCGAAACCCAAAACCCAAGATTCGTGCGTCAAAGGACGAAAACGGAGGAACAGAGGCGGAGCGAACTGGGGACCGACATTCTTGGGCTGTGACGGAAGGAACAGAGGAATTTCAGAGAGCGAGAGAGATTGCGAGGGGGAGGTGTGTTTTGAAGAAGAGGAGGGAAGCGAGGGAGTGAAATTTTCTTGCTTGACCTGGCAGATTAGGGCGCGCATGGAATCCATTCTGGAGCCTTAAAATATATGTGGTTACCCATTTTGAGTGAAATTTAAATTTTTTGAGATTCCTAAAAATATAAAAATAAAAAATAAAAAATTCAAAACTTCACAAAATGGCTTAGAATACCTGTGGCCACCCACTTTGAGTGAAATTTAAATTTTTTTAGGTGTCCAAAAAAAATTTCAAAAATCAAAAATTTCAAAAATTTACGGAATGGCTTATAATACATGTGGCCACCCACTTTGAGTAAAATTTTAATTTTTTAGATGCAAAAAAAATCAACAAATCAAAGCAGTTGCATTCCCGGAAATCAATTACGGAAGCGAGAATTAGTCATGTTTTACCAAACAGATTTCTCCTCCAGAAATCAATTTCTGGCAAGAATTTGATTTCTGGAGCAGAATGGTTATTATTCGCACCCTTAGATTCAGTGTAAAAGGTCGAGCTGCGCTAAAAAAAATAAAAAAAAATAAAGAGATAAGTACATTAGAAGTCTTATAACTTGTCAGGAAAATATAATTAAGTCCTAAAACTTTCAAAAAATGGGATTAAGTCCTAAAACTTGTAACTAAAGTACAATCAAATCCTAAAACTTATTACGGAGATGCAATCAAGTCCTAAAATTTATTATAAAAGTGCAATCAAGTCCTAAAACTTTCAAAAAGTGCAATCAATAGAAGGACTTGATTGAACTAATTTGACAAATTTTAAAACTTGTTTGCTTCGTGACAAGTTTTAGGATTTGTTTAAATTTTTTGAAAATTTTAGAACTCAATTGCACTTTCTTAACAAGTTTTAGGACTTAATTGCATATTATGAAAGTTTTAGGACTCAATTATATTTTCGTGACAAGTTTTAGGATTTTGAACGTACTTATCCAAAAAAAAAACCTAATTAATGAAAATAATAATTATTAATTTAACTTTATTGGAAATTTTTTTGTTTTTGTTTTTGTTTTTGTTGCCCAATTTAAAAATATATATCATGAGAGAAGGATTTGGGTGTGGGGCGGTCCAGCAAGTGTTCAGCTGGTGCTTTCTATATGACGTGGCACTTGGGTCGGGGTTGGGTTTGGAGCAGCTGACGTGGCGTGGGACTTTGATGGGTTTGCTTTTTGTGTTCTTTTAACCGAGATGGGATGAATCTGGCCAAAAATAAGTAAAATCAAGATTGAAATCAAACGGGTCTAGAGGGTGAATGCGTGACCTAAGCGCCTATGCACATATTCAAGCAAGCATGCACAACCAATAGTAGAATATATTGAAACAAGTCTTCTTCTGACTATGATGGTATATATGTAATGTGTTTAATTGATGATTTCTATGTATTGACGACATATGTTACTCCAATGTTCAAATCGATCAAGGTCAAAAAAATTCATGATAGTTATACTTTGGTGATATGCAAGAGTCTCACATGTGAAGAAAGAGTCCATGTTGGTGGTTTATAAATAAGATCTACCGCT